GTTTTAGTACAGTAATGTACAACACAAATTGTACACAAAAAATTCAGCTAGTGAGGGACCTAAGTGATTCAAACACCTAGGCCACCCACGCGCCTGGCATGTGGAGATGAGTTGGAACATAATGCACTCTTTCGGAATGCCGTGGAAATTTATTCCCAGACTCAGAAATAAAAATGTATTGAGGTTTTCCAGAATTTTTCTTGGAATTTACAAAAAAGGCACCTGATTTTAAACTTCTGAATTTGTTCTCAACCCCTGAATTGAGAATTTTTCTGGAAAATTTCAGAGCAAATTTTAATTCCCGCTATTGTAGAGTTCCGGTTAGAAGGGTTCCAGCTAGCAGAGATATTACTGTTGCTTAATAAAAACCATAATCATAAACCATCATAAAACAATAATCATATTTTAAAGTAATTAGTATTTTTAGTCTTTTGTATCATGTTACCTGTAATTAGTATTTTTAGTCTTTTGTATCATGTTACCTATCTTCTTTAATTTCAAAACAATTATATGCTTGTGAAGCATGATTAGAGTATCTTAGGCACTATGCAGTGGCCATCTTTGAAATAAACAGCCATGTTGAATATTTTTCATATGGATTTAAATCAAATTTCCTTCTTTAGGTCTTGACCTATCCCTTCTGAAAATTCATGCTTGTTGCCAAAAGCACACATTTCACACCATATTATTGTAGAATCCAAGTTACCCATCACTTATGGACAGCGGTGGCTCCCGAATTTTTATATAAGAGGGGCTCAAGGGTGGCAATCTGGTCGGAAGAGGGGGATAGGGGACTTGTCTCGAAGCTGCGTGTGCAGAGCAAGCACACATTTTTATAAATATGGAAACTTGCGTAGAGCTGCCCAGACGTTGAATAATTTCCAAGACGATAAATTTTATTCTAAAACATTATACAGCCAGCCACATCCTTATGATTTGTGTTTACGCTTGCTGCTAGTGGTGGAAGAATTCTGTTCTGTGGTGGAATCCCAAGGTATGATAAATTTTTTGGAAGGCTATTCCGAAAAAGTGCCTTATTATTATTTTGGGGTGACTTTGGGGGGCTGATGGAGATTATGAGGAGGCTGCAGCCCCCCAAGCCACCCCTTGGTGCTACCATTGCTTATGGAGATTGAGAGGTGCCTGTTAAATAGTTTTCTGGTGAGTTGAAATTCACTCTTAGGATACCCCAATAAATCCTGCAGAACACAGCAATACAGGCTGACCTTGTAAATTTGTGTCTCTAAAAAATGGACTTCCTGAACACCTATTCCAGTCTATATAAATGATATGGCTTAGAAATAAAGAAAATAAGATAAAAAACTATAAAATAAGAAAAAACTTATATCATTGGTGGGTATGTGTGCGAAATGGAAGTGGTGGGCTATAACTACGTTGCCAACTCACCAGCCCAGCCACCACGTTTATAGTTACAGGTTGGCAATCCCTTATCCGAAATTCTTGGGGCCAGAGGCATTTCGGATTTTGGAATTTTTCGGTTTTCAGAATGGTTAGTTTTTTGTGGGGCATTTTTTTTTTTTTTACCCAACCTGGGCAAGGATCACTGACCCACATCAGGGCCTGGTGGGGCGAAAATATAATAAAAATTATAATTATAATAATGCAGTATTACCCCGCTTTACACGGTTTCACTTTCCGCGATTTCTCATTTACACGGTACCTTGTCAGAACCGTACTTTCACTTTCCGCGGTGCATCTACTCATATATGCGTGAAGTATAATTTTTTTTTTTTTTTTTTTCATAAAATTCATACAAATTACCCAGCCAGAATATAATTTAATGGCTGGAATTCTTACAATATGATGATCATTTTGAATATAAACATCATGGATTTTGCATTAGACATACAAATTTTAGATCTAATGTAATAATTTGGTTTACACAAAGCAAGTATTTTATCTTTTGTGCAAAATATATGAAGTTTACATTCAAAATATTCCCTGACCTACAAGGAATCCAGAAATGTCAAATATATTATCCTAATTTTAGTCTGAGGTATTATTTATTACTGAAAGTTAAAATCTAGTTCTTTCACCCAACATTTCTCTGGTAGGGAGGGAAGGTGGGGGGTGGGGGGGGAGGGTTGGGACCGACCGACCATCTGGCGCGGTTGGAAGAGGGGGGGAGGCAAGTTGGGGTAATTTGATTGACAGATAGGGTCGTGAAGAATATTTTTTTTTTTATTAACTGAAGATATTTGTTTTAGCTCAAAAAATTCATACAAATTACTGGACCAGAATATAATTTACATTGCTGGATTTCTTACAATATGATGATCATTTTGAATATAAACATCATGGATTTTGCATTAGACATACAAATTTTAGATCTAATGTAATAATTTGGTTTACACAAAGCAAGTATTTTATCTTTTGTGCAAAATATATGAAGTTTACATTCAAAATATTCCCTGACCTGCAAGGAATCCAGAAATGTCAATTATATTATCCTAACTTTAGTCTGAGGTATTATTTATTACTAAACGTTAAAATCTAGTGTTTCACCCAGTCATTTCTCAGAGAGGTAGGGGTCAGTGAGCTGGGAAGAGGGGGGGGGATTTGAATCCATTATTTGAATGGACATTAACCTGGCGACTGTATTTCTCTTAAATATTAATTGTGTGAGCATACCATCATAAAATTTAGATGTTATTTTTACTACAACATAGGTATTGTGTCGGAAAAAGTGGAGTTTGTGGGTCGGGCCAGTCTCTATTGGAATTAATCCCATATGTTCTGTTGTTCACTTTCCGCGGTACCCTGTGGGTTCAATTGACCGCGTAAATCGGGGTACTACTGTAATAATAATAATAATAATGATTCATAGGTCTAGGTCGCGTTTCTCACTTTTGATCTTTTTTTCATTCTTGTATTTCTTTATTAGTATTATTAGTATTAGTATTTTATTACAGTATTATTGTTATTTTTATTATTATTAATTTTATTATTTTATTTTATTGTTATTATCATTATTATTTTATTTTGGTGTACAGTATATTTTAATTATAAATCTTATTTCCTATGAATAATTATTACTATTATAATTATTATTACTATTACATTTTCACCCACTAGGTACTGATGTTAGTCAGTGATCTATGCCCGGGTGGGCTAATCCCTGTTTATATAAAAAAAAAACAAAAAAAAAAAACAAAGACCCACCAAAAAAACTTTCGGTTTTTAGAGCTTTTCGGTTTTCCGAATTTCGGATAAAGGGTTGTCAACATGTATTTGTAATTAAACTTTAAAATTTGTCGAAAAATCATTACACTACTCTAATATGGCTTAGAAATAAAGAAATTATAAGACGAAACAAGATAATTGAAGAGCTTGGGTGTGTATGTGTGTGAGAAGTAAACGTTTGTAGAGGCAGTTTTAGCCAAGGCCTTGGCTAAAACTGTGCTGCAGACTTGATAACCCAGCTGCCTCGTATATTGTTACTGAGCTTTGAAAGAAACAATAAAAGTTGTGGAAGAATCATTACAATACTCTAATGTGGACTAGAAATAAAGAGAATATAATATAAAACTATTAAAAAAGACAAATGAAGAACATCCGTGTGTTTATGTAAGAAGTGAATGTGTGTTGAGGTGGTGGGTTACTGGGCTATAACTGCGTGGCTGTGCTCCCTCCCCATGTAACATCACAGCAGCCACCTTTCTGTGAGTCAACTGGTTGACTTCCTGAACTGTGTCGCATTGCTCAGAGGATGGTCTGAGTGTGGAAGGAGGTATTTTTTTTTTTACATAAAATATGGTATATGTTATTGTATGCAGTATTATGATATGATATTTATCGATTTGATTCTTTATCATAGCAACAAATATGGCAGCTCATCCTCGTTACATGCTGTATTCAAACTTATGACTCTAGCTGATTTTAGAGGAACTTTTATAAATATAAATATTATTACAGTGGTCCCTCGGTTAACTAACACAATTCGTTCCACAGAGTCGTTCGTTAACCGAAAATTTCGTTAACCGAAAATTTCGTTAACCGAATCCCTTGTTTCAATGGGATATTGGATAATTGGTTCCAGCTCACAGAAAAGTACATACAAAGTAAAAAAAAAAATGCAGTAAAGTACACTTACTTTGAGGTGTGTATGGAGAAGGTTCCTGGTTGTTGATGATGATGGGAATTAGAAGTGGGGGTGGAAGAGAAGGGAAAAGAGAAGGAAGTGGGGATGGAGGAGAAATCACCTTTTGGGGGACGCATGCTTGATGCAGTAATTTCACCAATAAAATTTTAAGTTCACTAGGTGTAATTCAAGATTATTTTATTTAAATCAACACTGCACTATATATTATAGCCAAACTGACACCTGGTGGATGAGTCAATCAGCTGATGGGCACACAAAAAACTAGTTCCCTGTACTGCATATATTATCAATATGTTAAATAAATTTTAAAAATGACTAATAATATTAATATAAAAAATGCAAAAATATTAAAGAGCACAACTTTCTTGATATTTACTCCACTGGAAACGAATGTAAACATAGAAAATATTACTGAATTGGCAGACTAGCCTATCAGCTGATCAGCTGATACTCACAACAAAACGTATTTGTCGTAAGGATTTTGTTAATCGAAGTTTTGTTCATTAACCGAATTGAACATCCTTATGGGAGGTAATTCGTTTACTGAAATTTTGTTAATCGAACCGTTTGTTAACTGAGGGACCACTGTATTTCATTTTGGTGCCAATTAGATGAATCTACTGGTTACCCAGATACTGGATAACTGGGATTCTACTGTATGCACCATTTTCCTGGGATAATTGACTTTTATTAGTCACCCAAAAATGGTAGTAGGTTAGAGACAGCTTATTCTCAATCTTTTATATACCTGTACAGTACATCATATTAATTCATTATTTTCTTGGTTTATACTTTCTATGCAGAACTATTTTTTTATTAATATAAATATTTGGAATGATATCTGTACAACTTTTTCATACACCAATATATTCCACAGATTCAAGAGGGAGGACAACTGCTGACAGTGTTTTCATCTTCACATTACTGTGGGGGCAGTAATGAAGCAGCTTGTATACTCGTCAACAAATGTCGAATTAGAATTATAAGAGTTGACACTTCTTGAAATTGCTTGATTTGAGGACAGTAAAGGCTCTATCATCCAGGATACTTAGTGACATAATTTTTGTTATATCTGTCAATAAGAATGCCTTATTTATATGCAGCATAGTGCTTCAGTGTATAAATTCCAAATGTATTGTGTATGCATGTCTCAGTGATGATGTAGCTATAATTGCAAACAAAGTTAGATCTAAAATTTGTAGCCTATGTCTAATGCAAAATCCATGATGCTTATATTCAAAATGATCATCATATTGTAAGAATTCCAGCAATGTAAATAATATTCCGGTCCAGTAATTTGTATGAATTTTATGAGCTAAAACAAATATCTTCAGTTAATAAAAAAAAATATTCTTCACGACACTATCTGTCAATCAAAGTACCCCAACTTGCCTCCCCCCCTCTTCCAACCGCACCAGATGGTCGGTCGGTCCCAACCCTGCCCCCACCCCCCACCTTCCCTCCCTACAAGAGATGTTGGGTGAAAAAAACTTAATTTTAACATTTAGTAACAAATAATACCTCAGACTAAAGTTAGGATAATATAATTGATATTGCTGGATTCCTTGTAAGACCAGGAACATTTTGAATATTAGTGTCATATATTTTGCACAAAAGATAACATATTTACTCAAAGTAAACATTAGATCTTAAACTTGTATGTCTAATGCAAAATCTATGATGTTTATATTCAAAATGATCATCAAATTGTAAGAATTCCAGCAATGTAAATTATATTCTGGCCGGGTAATTTGTATGAATTTTATGAGCTAAAACAAATATCTTCAGTTATAAAAAAAAATATCCTTCACACCGTGCCAGATGGTCGGTCGGTCCCTCCCCCCCCCACCTCCCACCAACCCTCCCTACCAGATAAATGTGTGGGAAAACCAGAATATTTACCTTTTTAGTAATAAATAATAATTCAGACTAAAGTTAGGATAATATAATTGACATTGCTGGATTCCTTGTAAGACCAGGAATATTTTGAATATAAATGTCATATATTTTGCACAAAAGATAACATATTTACTCAGAGTAAACATTAGATCTAAAATTTGTATGTCTAATGCAAAATCTATGATGTTTATATTCAAAATGATCATCAAATTGTAAGAATTCCAGCAATGTAAATTATATTCTGGCCGGGTAATTTGTATGAATTTTATGAGCTAAATAAAAAAAAAAATTATACTTCACGCGTATATGGGTAGATGAACCGCGGAAAGTGAAAGTTCGGTTCTGGCAAGAGAAATCGCGTAAAGTGAAACCGCGTAAAGCGGGGTAATACTGTATATATATATATATATATATATATATATATATATATATATATATATATATATATATATATATATATATATATATATATATATATATATATATATATATCATGTAGATCCACAATGAAAACGTGGATAAGATAAATCTTGATAAAATCACACGGTAAAAAGGGAAACAATGGAGCACCTTAGCTTTCGTCTTAATTCAAGACATCTTCAGAGGCAATTGGATTACATAGACAGAGAGAGCCTTAAATATACAGGGTGACCTTATTAAACATGAGGTCAGGTCATAATGATGTCATCCACTAATCCTCACACCAATGCCAACACACATGTAGAGGAGCTTAAGAGAAAGGGGGGGACGTGACTAGTCAGGTCAGGTAAAAATAAGGGACCCACTAAATAACTATACCTACATCTAGCTCCAAGGTTTTCAAAGCATTTTTAACCTTGGGCCACTGACAAATAACTTTATGTAACATAATATCACTTTTGAACTGACCATCACTAAGGTTTATTGATTTTAATTCCTTCATCAAACTAGCTTCAACCAGAAGTCTTTCTGTGAGACAAGATGATTTGAATACTTCTAAGCTTTTTTCCCAAGCAATGGGATGATTATTATTCCTAACATGAACTAACAGGGCATTGCTTTCAGATGCTGTTCTGATATTATACTTATGTTGTTTGATTCTGAGCTGCAATGTTTTTCCTGTCTGTCCTACATAATTACCATTACATTTGCTACATGGAATACAATAAACACTTCCATTTACATTCAAACTTGGGCTATTTTTAATAACATATTGGTAATGGTTGAGTCATTCTTGAAAACAACATTAATATTTAGTAATTTAAGGGACCGAACTAATGGGACAAATTCATTGCGATAGGGCAGAGTCAAAATATTCTTAAGTGATGGAATTTGCCTGGTTTGAGTAGAATGAAAGGATTTTTTAGCCCTTTTAAAACAATGATCAACAAACACAGAAGGGTACCCAAATTTTTGTACAATGGAACGAATGTGTTTCAATTCTTCATCAATAAATTCAGGGTCACAAACACGCAAACATCTCTAAAACATAGCAGAAAAAATTGACATTTTGGTAGACTCCAGGTGATTTGATAAAAAAATGTATGAAACTGTTTACCTGTGTAGGCTTTCTGTACACATTAAATTTGTAGTTATGGCCATTTCTAATGATAAGCATATCAAGGAATGGAAGGGATCCATATACAAGTTGTACCTCTCCGGTGCCGGACCATGGAAATTGCCGGACCATGGAAATTCACCCTTTTCCTGGATAGATAGTGACTTGTGCTTATGCTTGGAAGCACTAGCACCACTTTCTCTGCATCATGGTCTCTTTGAAGACACATTGAAGGGTTAAATGTCGTATAGTAGCTTCTCAAATTTGGCGAGTTTTTAATTCTTAGAGTATTTTATTGGAACAAAAAAAAAAAAATAATAATTGACGGCGGAAACTTGAATTTCGACGGGTTTGAACGGCCAGCCAACGTGCAGACGACGTGCATAATCGTGTAAACAGCGTCATTTCTCTTATGTACAAAAGATTCATTATTGTTTATTACTGAATGTCTTTTTTATTGAATTAATGTTTATGTGTGCAAAATGAGCAACGCAATTCATTAATAATACGTAGAATATGAAAACACACGAGGAAATGACACAGCATTGTTTTCGTTGATTACAAAACCAGTGACTGACTGGTTCTACATATAAAACTGAAGAAAATAAGACCTTGGTTGTAGCTGTAGTAAAATTAATATGGTTGTTTTAGCTAATGTTATTTAATGTTAATAAATGGAACAATAGAAGTAGCTAACGGTAATGGTAAAGAAAAAAGAGAGATGTGTATGTAAGTGCGCACACGTGAAAACATATCGTCATTATTTTACATAAGAATATGAAAGCAACACGTATTTACTGTTCACATATATTTTAATTATTGTTTCTGAATTTGCTTTTATTGAATTAATGTTTGTGTGCAAAAATAACAATAGGCCTACAATTTATTAATAATACGTGGAATATTAGAGGAGACGAGACGGCTGCCGGCATTGTTTATGTTAAAGCTTACAAAACCAGTGACTGATTGGTTCTACATATAAAACTGAAGAAAATAAGACCCTGATTTTAGCTGTAGTAAAATTAATACAGTTAACCCTCACTTTACGCGGTTAATGTAACCCGGAGGGTCCCGAAAAAAGTGAGAAATGCGTAAAGTGAATAACATAATATATGGTATTAATTGAAATGGAGTCCGGGCCGACCCCCAAACTCCACTTTTTGATGACACACAACTATGTTGTAGTAAAAATTTTATCTTAACTTTATGATGGTATGAAAAAACAAGTAATATAGAAGAGGTTAGGTTAGGAAATATAAAGGTTAACATAGGAAAAATAAAGGTTAGGTTAGAAAAACTAAAACTTAGGTGGAACGCTTACGGTAGTAGAAGAGATGGGTCGGCATACGGGGATGGAGGCTGGTTCCGAGGCAGAGGGCAGATTACTGGCCCTCAGGTGAATCACCATTACTAGGTGAAGCACCATCACTGTCACTTACAGTTGTTAGGGCTTCCCTGACAAATCCCTCAAAGTCATCTTCACTGTCACTATCACTGGCTTGGGCTGGCTGTGGTGGGTTGCGGGCGAAGAACGCGGTTATGCTTTTTTGACGGCTGGTGTTTATGTTGTCGTGATACACCGTGATGTATGGCTCCATAGCCTGCACCAGCCGGGTATGGAAGACTTCATAGCGGTATCGTCATTGTCGCGGGAAAGGAAGGACTTCATTTTCTCTGAACACTCCATGGCACCCTTAATATCACTATGAGTTAAACTGTGTTCTTCAGAGAATGACGCACCTTCTTCCTCCTCTTCACTGACGTGATCTTCTTCCAACATCTCGTCGGCAGTCACTTCAGGATCTCTGATCACCTCCAGGATGTCGTCGTTGGTGGTCTCGGAGAAGCCTGGAACTGCAACAGTCTGCGCAGCTTCTCTGGCAAGGTCCACTGCTACTGCAACATTCTGAACCTCACCAGTCACAGATTGACTCCTCCTCTCACCTGGTATTCCATGCGACACATGTCTCCATGCATGACGAATTGTAGCAATAGACAGCTGATCCCATGACTCCACCAAGAAGTCCACAGCTTTCTTGATGTTAAATACTCTCCAGAATTGTTTGAACAGTATTTTTTGCTGTGCCAACTGTTGATCCTCATCTTCTTCGTTCTTGCTATCGGTGGTGGTGTCACTCAGGTTACGCAACTCTTCCCTGGTGTTGGTGTAGTCGTTCAGGAGTTTGAATTTTTTTGTTGAGAATGCAGCTTTTACATTACAGATTAACTCTTGGTCCATGGGCTGTAATATAGACGTAGTGTTGGGAGGAAGGAAGACCACTTTTACGTTGGGGTGACGATCTAACAGTAGGGGCGAGTGTCCTGGTGCGTTGTCCAGCAGCAACAAAATATTGAATGGCACATTCTGTCGCTCACAGAATTTCTTTACATCGGGAACAAAACAGTCATCAAACCAGGAGAGGGACAGTGTAGAGAACATCCACGCCTTACGTGCGGTCAGCCAGTGGACATTTAGCTTGGTCATGTCCATGGTTTTGTAGGCGTGCGGCTTGCGTGCTGTGTGGATCACCGATAACTTGAGCTTACAGGTACCGGAGGCATTGGTGGTAAACAGGACGGTGATGCGTTCCTTCTGCATCTTCCGGCCCCGAATCCTGCTGGCATTCTTTACAACGAAGGACTTGGAAGGTAGCTTTTTCCAGAAAAGACCAGATTCGTCCATGTTAAACACCTGGTCGTCACTGTACTGTCCTTCCTCCATAATCTCACGTAAAAACGGAGGAAATTCCCTAGCCGCAGCACGGTCAGCACTCGCTTCTTCACCACCAATGTTTATATTGGTGATCTTGTTCTGGATCTTAAACCTCTGTAACCACCCAGAGGAA